CCGCTCAAAACTCTGACCACCTCCCCTCCTTCCAACCCAATCAGCTGCAGGGAGGCACATTCCATGCCCCACAGCTATACGTCACAAAAAGGCCCCTGCTGCAACTGTTGCCACTGATTGGGCCAGGAGGAAGGTAGCAGTCCAAGTTTTGAGTGGGCTTGGACGAACTCAGACGAGCTGGGTTCACACCCAGCCCAGGCTCATCTCTACTTTGATATATACATATCAGTTTTATTTTGTCTGCATATGACATTATAAAACTTGACATTTACGTTTTTAACCTGTTTTATCTAATTTTTTCTTCTAGGTCCCATAGCTCCTTAACCCTTTACCCTTGTTGAATATCACAGGATTATAGCACAGGCACTAGTAGAATGGAATATCTTGTTCTAAATTATGAAAGACAAATAATAGGGTAATTACAGGAACAATTGTAGAGATTTCTGTTGGTATGTGAATAAGGATACCAACCAAGAAAACAGAAACTGGCCTAGATCATGCATAATAAGGGTTTGGTTAGTGATGAAATTTGCAACCTGTAATTAATTTCGACAGTGTCCAAAAATGTAGCCGGGTTTAGTAATCATGCTAATTCAGGTTCCCAGACATTTTTGTCATTAACCCTTTTCTTTTTTATTACAGGTATTGCCGTCTTGCTTTCCCTGTCACCATTAGCTGACTTGTTTTATTTCTGGAAGCCCCGGTGGCCAGCCCAAGAAGAAATAGATCACAAGCATTTGCAAGACTTCATAAATCACTATTGAAACCACCTGCATGCCATTCTTACATAGCTTTATTACATCCCACTAAAGTTTTGTGTTCCTTTTCAGTTGCTGGTAACTTAGTTCCAGTTCTGCTAGTTTATTGTACTGAGGAATGTGAGATAAACAGGGCACTCCTGTGTATTACCCATCTGCAATTCACATACATCTGATTACAAGTATTTTCTGGACCGGTCGCCTTATCTATATGAGGACTGTAAATTGCAAGGGCACGCAATGCTTCAATTACATTGTACACCTTTACTGATGCTGTAGCAGACTGATACTTCAATAACAGCAAAATGTCAATAAATAGGCTGTAAATACTTGTATGTGGTTTAGGTTGTTAAACCCCCATCTAGGTTTCATTATCATACTTTTCTGTAGGAATGAACCCATACAGGTAATGCAAGAAGTGGAAGTCTTGACAAGTTTCTAAGTCAATACAGTACTGTCAGTCGACTGCTGAAACCAGATAACAGAACCTCGAATATGTTTTCCAACAATGTACAGACAGTTTGCTAGAAAGCTACCTTTTATTACAGGTAATGTCACAGCAGATAAATTGATTAGAGTCACAAATATATATCTAAATATTGCAATGTATGTAATAGGAATGTTAAGTGCAGTGGTAATTCTCCTCCCTCCCTGATGTATTTAGAAAGGCAGTATTATGTTTCAATTAGAGAGAGAGGCTGAAAGCAGATAGCTTCTGCTATGATCTTTATATAATTAGTTTTAAAAAAAGATATAAAACGGGCCCCTTGTTAGCCTAATTAATGTATGTTTTAAATTACAGATGGATGGGAAAAAAAGCAATAATAAATAAAATAATCACAATATGGTAGAGTGAGCATGTAAAATGTGAAAGTCAAGTAAAAAATGACTTTCAGGCAAAAATTACAATAATAAAAAGATGTACGTAGTAAAAAAAACTAACGTACGTTTCCTTTATACTGCACCCATTTCTTTAATGTATCACAGGCTTATCCCAGACATGTAGAAAAATGACACCTAGGTTAAGAATGCACAGAATAAGAATGTGCCGGAAGCCAGACTTCACAGCTTTTGTCGAGCACTGTCATGCCTTGGAAAATATTTAGTTATGGACGGGCATCACAGTATTTGTGTAAGGACACTTTTAGGAGGGATCAGACAACACCAGTTTATCAGTTTTTGTTTGGTTTTTAAAAGTTATAACTTAAAGTGGAACTCCAGACACAGGTTTTTAATGGCTCACAGAATGCAAGGCATTTTGTGAATGGACAGGGGGTGTGGACACTAGCGTAAGCCACAATGTGTAATTTTCAACCTAACCAGCTTTGTTTCAGAGCTGCTGTGTAGCTTTGAAACATTTTTTCTCCATGTAAATAGCAAGCCCTCACATTACTTTACAGTCATGCAATATTCAGGCACATCTGTCCTTGCACATTTGAAATGCAACTTCCCTGGTAAGCAGATTTATTTAGCCGGAATTTATAATGGTCTACCAGCATGCCTTTGCACCATACTAGTACTGCTACTATCAGTGGGCTGGTATATTAAAGGAGTAGGGAACATTCACTGCATAGTGAATATTGACGTAGCTTAGTGAAGATGGTTAACATGTTTTAACTTTTAACATTCACTCATGTGCAAAAGAAAAATGCTTTAGGCCCTTATTTACACCTGTGAATGGGGCCAATCACATTAGTCTCACAAATTCCTCTGTAAAGGTGCCCATACACCTGCCGATTATCGTACGATAACCGCGGGTGATCCCGCAATCTTACGATAATCGGCAGGTGTATGAAAGGCGTGCGACCGTTTCTAGTGTACGGTCGCACGTCTTTTGTCATACATATGATTTTCGACGGGTTAGTGGCGTGCTCGGAAGACAAATGGCAAACGGGCCAGTGCGCAAGCGCACACTGCCCGCTCAGCATTGGAATCATCGGAAGCCCTCCCCTAAGCGGGGAAGGCATGCGATGATCGCAAGTACGATCTGCCTGTCCAAGATGGGCAGATCGTACGAGATTTTAATTACCTTACAACCATCGCACAACGGAAGTCGTGCGATGGTTGTAAGGTGTATGGGCACCTTAAGGCTCATGCGATCAGGCGCTGTAAAATACAATGGCAGATGCCACCTTCCGCAGCCATTGGCATGTATTGCACATACTGCAATTACCTGGGGGTGATTGCACCTGGATGCAAACAGTTTACGTCTAGGGGTGATCACCTGCAGTTAATCGCAGCATGTGCAATGCATTTGAATGTGACCCTAAGGCCCCATTTACATTTGTGATTGGGGCAGATTGCATGAGTCTCAAGAACTCCTCCATGTGACTCATGCGATGAGCTGCAGGCAGGAGGCACTGTATAATCCAGTGCCAGCAGCCACTGCCCGCAGCTCATCGCATGAGTGTCATGGAGGAATTCATTAGACTCATGCAGTCTGCCCCAATCACAAGTGTAAATGGGGCCTTAGGGTCACCATAAACGTTACAATCTGACCTTACAATCTTTGTACAATCAATGTTAGATTTACCAAAGCTATGTAATATAATGACTGATCTAATCTATTAATTCAATTTATATCCAATCAGTCAACCCTTGCACTATATAGCTGATCTATAGTAGATATAGTAGATCTAAAAGAGTTTGTACAGTCAGATTGTATAGTGTATGGTCAACCAACTTGTACATGACTGGATGATTGAATTTTATACAGCTTCACCTGTTCTATAAAGTGTACATTCTTTGCACGTTCAAATTGCGCAATAGACTAGTTCAAAGCCACTTAATATAGTCTTGTATAGAAAGCAAAACAGTATTAATTTTACCATAGACTTAATTTGAATACTAGACATGTTAATGAAATCTGACTATGTGATCATTTTTGTTTTAAGAAAACCTGTACTGAGAACAATGTGAATGTTACTGTTGTCACCCTGCTGAAAAATTCTAGTTTCCTGGCTGTCTCTGACTTCAGTCACTGCATGCATCAGATATCAGTCTGTCACTTTTACTTGTTCAGTGACAAAGTATTGAAGCATGATAGCTAGAAATTAGCATTTGAAGAAGGATTGGCCAGCAATGGCAACCTCCATATCTCTCTCAGTACAGGTTTACTTAAAAGATGGGTCTATAAATATATGGGCTTGTATAGTGTGAGCACATATATGCAGGCACCGTACAGGTACTCCTAGTGCATGCATTTTCTAGAGAGGAACAACTGCTATCAGCTGAAAAAAAATCAAGCATGCCCGACCAACCCAAAGACAGGAGTAGTGGAATGCTGCATTGCGCACATATTATAACAATCATTGATCGATCTGGCCATAATTAACTGAATTAAGAAGCTTGGTATCTCTATATTTATCTCATTAAACTGCTAGCATACCTGTCAACAAACGAGCCTCATTCACTTTTCCTTTCTTAATAGTAGCAAAAGTACTGCTGACTATTTCATTACCAGCACTATACTGTATTGGAAGGTTATGTGCTTCCAATGATATACTTATTAAATCAACTGAAATGCCAGAAGAACATAATTGATCATTAGGATACCACTCCTAATGACAACTGTGACCAGGAACAGGACACTTCACCAAAGTCACTACTGAACTGAAATCCTGACTATGACTTTCTATTTAATCTATTATGAAAATAACATCATATTTCAGTTTCTGTAACTACACAGAATATACACTGTGCATATAATTATATTAATAGCCTTTATGGGTAAAAATAAATGGGCTGATAATAAATAATAGGTATAACACTTCAAATATATTATGCCAATATCACTTTCTCCATATAATTACTGACACATGGAGCTGATCCTGCAATTTGACCCTACAACATATTACATTGCATTAGTCTTCTTTTTAATTTGTAGGTGAAGGTTCTCATTCATGCAACAAACAAAAAAAAATCAACGCAACTGGACTTGCTGTATTTTTCTTAAAGACCAGCGAAACGTCTTCAAGAAATATACAGCAAGTCCAGTTGTCTTGATTTATTTTTTCACAGATATTCTTTTTAATTTGTATTATTTCTGTGGTCTTGACATGTATAGGATGTTATAATAGATTTTTATAATGGTCCTATTAAAATAAGTTAATTCAAGCACGTCTCAAATTAATGGTGCTCACCGGGTATGGTGGCATTCCATGGTTTATAACAGTAGGTATGAATCTGCTAAAGAACAGATGAAAGCTTGCATTTCTCAGCTGTCAGGTGAATTGTATACTTACTAAGGAAAATGATGACACTGGATATCCTCCTGAAACAATCCATGCTGTCAGCTGATGGGAAAAGGCTCAGAGCTTTTGAGTCAGTCTGTTCTTGGCTGGCACTTGCAGGAGTTGGAAGAGCCTGTGGATGAAGCAGAGCTATAGAGCTGAGAGGACGGATGACTAATCAGGCTCAGTGTTCAGGCAGGTTTCCCTCTCACTCAGGAATGCTACTCTCAGTTCTGTTGTGACCTCTGAGACGCAGAGTCATTTATACAACCAGTCCTGCTAGATAACTGGTTTGGCTCCAGTTCCAGTGTAGACGCACATTGAGGGAGGAGTTTTTTGATTTCCCTCACTTCTTGCCTTTTTCAGCCCACCAGCGGAAGTTTCATAAGCTTTAGAATAAACCTCTTGATATTACATGTTTTTGCTGAGCAATAAAATGTTTGACAGGGTGGTGGGTGGTTGCAGGTAGTGAGAAAAATGCTTCTACTCTGCTTCCTTATCCTCTCCTTGCTTCCCTAACTATTCACACCCAGTCTTAGTTTGAAAGACTCACCCATGTTACTGGCTTTATTACCTTTCCTACCCAGCTACATGTGTTAAATTAGTTTGTTCCCACTAATTATTGAAGCAATCGTTTACTGTATATGCAGGTTAACACAGATGACCACGCACATCAAATTATCAGTTGTTCGTGAACTTTCTGGAAATAGTATGATGTTTGAATGTGCATACAATGCCACCTTAGATAAGCATACCCATGTGTTTTGTAGAGACTAATGGCATAATGTCTTCATATAAACCATCGCTTTGAACTTGATAAATCCTATATACTGAGGAAAACTTTATTTGCCAATGAGATGAACATTTGCAGGATTGGGCAGTTATTATCCAATGTCTCTAGAATTGGTGGTCAACTTAGTAGACTTAGTAGGGGCCTCAAGTGCGGCCCCTAAAATGTCCAGGGGACTGCAAAATATCTTAGTATTCAAAAATGTATGTTGCAATAACACATGGTAATACCATATGTTAGATATCATACATTACTGCAATGGTAATGTGTGCAATGCTGGGCATGTGTTGTGGCGCCATGGATTCTGAATTGCATCCCAACACACTGTTACAGTAGTGAGCAATGCACTCACACTGCAGCACACTGCAATGTTCATGCTATGCTCTGTGGTGTGTTGTATTGAAAAGTCACATTCAATTTTTAGTACATTAAAGTACCCATATCTTCTAAATAACAACAAAGGCATCTTTAGAAATGTTTAGTAAGGACAATCTACAAACAGATACTTCTAGATAATTGCTTTTTATTATTTGCATACCTTATTTTTCTTTTCCTCACCATTCTTCTAACAGGGGCCATTTTAACTAACGACAGGTTACTAGATTGCCCTTTACTGCCTGGAACTCTTGCATATGTGACTAGGACATGTGGCTATTTACATCATCTCAGGGGAGGAAAATGCCTTTCCCTGAGATCTCATGAGATTACAGATTAGATTTCCCAGCAATTAACTGCTGATGTAACCTTCCCATGATGCAATGCTTGGGCATGATTACATAATTAGTACCAAAGTGGACTAGGAAGTTAAAAAAAAGAAATTGTAATAAAAATAAAAATATGTTTGTTTAGCTAATGAATGTATGATAATTTCATGTCAACATGCAGAGCTGTATGCTGATGTGATTTCTAGTCAAAAGGGGTAAAGGTCCGCTTTAAGGTGCATTGCCAACCCATTCAGAATGAATAGGCTGCACTAATGTAACACACATTAGTGATCATTAATATGCATGCGGTAATGCACTGCAAAGATGTGATATGCCTAATTGGAAAGAAACTTCAAGGTCTTCAGTAATACATTTCCAGAAGGGCAGCTGAAGACTTTGAAGACTACACAAGCAGATGACTTCCTGACAGACCATATGACTCTTTCCACAGTTGGGAGCTCAGAGCTTGGATTGGCAGTTTATGCTACTTATTACATTTGAACCCAGCCACTGGTATGGATCAGCCGCCTGCACACTGGCAGCATCGGTGTATATTTTAACTGCTCTGGCCACATCCCGGCGCCATCTCAGTTAAAATGTAACTAAAGGCTGCCAGTATGCAGGGTTTTGATGCCATTGCCATTGCAATTGTGTTTACCAACACTCAGAGGGCCACACACATGGGGGGCTAGTGGGCCACATGCAGCCTGCGGGCAGTGTGTTTGGCTCTAGGGGTTATAGGTTAGAATATTGAATGAGCTCAGATTGGCAAAGACTTAGAATAGAGGGTCTAGCATGTCCTTAAGTAAGAATACAGCCAAGGGAGTAGGTCGCATTTAAAGTGACGGTTTTATAGGGAATTGCTCTATTGCTCTATTACTACATTAGTCTAACATACATACTTTCCATATTAAAAACTCTACTTATCAAAGCAAGCTATCAAAAATCTGTAAATAGTATTCAGAATCTTTCTTATTTTGTGATACATGTATAAGCTACGGTAGTATCAATTATAAACTTAAGTGTAATGCAAATTTTTTGCCTGTTGTGGAAATCTGAATACATATCAGGGGAGAACTGAGCTGGGGGGCAGGGAAGCATTTGCCCCCTGGGTCAGTACTAATAAGTCATGTTGGGTGAGTGCCCCTGAGGAGAGATATTTCTCAATTCAGACATCATTCAGAGCAGAACCTGCAGTCTATGACACATGCTTGGCATTATGTAGTGATCTCACTCCCATTCAGACCTGTAATCACAGCTTCTGGCAGAGGGAATCCTTCCAGCACCAACTTCCAATGTAGCTCAGAAATACCATATTCTTTAGGAACACCCACCTTTCACTATTCTTACCAATCAATGATGTACCATAGCACAATTTGAGTGGAACACCGTCTTTAACCCACAGAAATCTGTCCCTATCATTAAAGGGCCAAAAAGTTCAAAGACCAAGTTGCCAAAAGTTCCCAGACCTTCCCTGATGCATGTGAACCTTATAGGCTCATCAAGGAGTGAATGTGAGTGTTTATCAGACTATTGCTGTGCTGAGTATAGGGCTGTGTGTGGAGACTTTTGCTTTGAATTACCTGTTTATATATGGTGGGTTTATGGGCATGACTTTTCATGTGGAAATGCGTTTGGGGGCCCTTCTCTTTATTACTGCTAGTTGGCTGTGTGTTTTTTTGGCAGCCCATGCTCCAGACAGCCCAAACAGCTATATATTTCTCCCCACCACCTTCCTCCTGTGACCAAGGCATTTTGTGACATAATTCCTGTTGCGCGTGCAGGCACACATGCACACAATGGCTGTTGGCACCTTGCAGTTTAAAATTTTCTTCTGCCTTTCTCCCACAGCAGATATTTTGGTGTTTCGTTTACAGGAAAAAACACACACTTCTACTGAAATCTTACAGTTGCAAAGTATTCATCTTTTGTTACTTCACTTGACCACCCTTTTGACAAGTCATCGACTACGGGTTCACTAGGACAATGCCACGGTTCTGGCTTACAATAATCATCAGGGGGGCACCAAAAGTGTTGCGACAGGGCGGGTTTACCAGAAGTGTTGCAACTGTGATGGAAATAGAATCTATCCTGTCCATGCCCTCTACCAGATAGGCCAGATCTATTGTCCCAAGAACCGATTTTCCACCCTGCTTCTCAGTCATTGGCTTTGATGGCTTGGCTTTTGGAACCCAAGTTCCAGACAGGGGGATTGAGGATTCAGCTATCCAGCCATGTGTAAATCTACTTTCCACATAACTTATCATCATTCTAAGATGGCTTGTTTTTATTGTTGTAAGACTTTAGGGGTTTATACACGTGCCTTTCTTGTTGCCATCACTATGGCTAGAAGGTTCCCTAAGTTGTCAGAATTGTTCGGTAAGGAGCCCCATTTGATTTTACACAAAGACATGGACCTCCTTTTTTACCCAAGGTAGCCTCTGCTTTTCCTCTTAATAAGGTTTTGTGTGTTAACTATGTTGTGTTCAGTACAAGTGGTGAGGGCTGTCAGGGTTTAGCTCTCTTTTATGCAGACAGATTTCCTGTCTGAGAAGGCATCCAGCTCCACTATTTCTCAGTGGATTCTACAGGTTGTTGTGCACGACATTGGGTTGCAAGATAAAGTGTCTTCTTTTCCCATAAAAGCTCACTCCTCTAGGGCAGTAAGTTCTTCTTTCTGAGTGTCAGGGTTGCAAGGCTGCAACCTGGTTTTCTGTTCACAAGTTCTCCAAGTTTTACAAGGTTGATGTGTCTGTCAGTGCAGATGCTAGTTTTGGTCAAGTTTTGCTAGTTTTTCTAATGCCCTTGTTTTTCCCTTGTTGTGGGTTGTTTTGATGTACTCGTCCCTCCCTTAGACTGTTCTTGGACATCCTTTGGTTACAGCACACAAATTAAGCTGTGTACCTCAATGGACAGATATAGAAATGACGGGATGATAGAGAAAATATGGTTTTTATACCCATTGCAAAGTCCATTAAGGGACACAGCTCCCTCCCCCGTATGCTATTTATTTATTTTTTGGACTGCTTGCTACAACTGGTAAGGTGTGAGGTGGGAGGGGTTATAGCTTCTAGGTGGTTGGCCTTCAGTTTCAGTGCCTAATGTCCATTTAATGTAATTTTTTTTATTTTAGTATGTAACTTGTACTGTTTTTGTGTTTTTTGTTCACTAGGTTTTCTTTCATACACTAATGTCTCTGCACTAAACGTGTTGTTTTGATGTGGTCTGATATTTTTGTATTGAACCTTGCCCAGTTAAATTCCTATTCCAAATTACTAGGCTGCATATAGAATTAGCATATATGAGAGCACTTCTTTGACAACCATTTTAGACAGACCTACATGGGAACAAGGGAAGGCTATACATTTCTAAGTGAATATAAGGGAATCTTCAAAGGCCCATAGAGGTATAATTGAATGCTATACGTGAACGTAATTTTTTTAACAGTGTTACAGAAATAATGTTTTGCACACAATTGTTGCTGCAGTCATCGAAAAAGAATAATAGCATGTAAAGTCCAGGTCTCAGTTTATATTGGTTGATCTTTAGCAAAGATCATGTGACTAAAGGCACATCGTTAGTGCCTTTAGTCACATGCAGCACTGGAGGTAGTCTAAAGCAGACTTTTGTTCTAGGAAATGTAATTCATTACCATTTAGTTAGCTATCCTCCAAAACTGTTAATATACAGTAGTTTAATCATAAAGCCCAGTCCACTTAACACCTGTGAAAAAAAATATATCT